GGAGCCGCAGTGGAGCCTTCAGGTGTCCCGGGCTCCCGGGAACCGCAGCCTCCTGCGGCGCTGGGGTCCGGAGCCACCGGCGCAGGAACAGGGAAGGAGGGGGAACGTGCTGCTCCGGAGAGGGGGAGATAGGTACCGACAAGGATTCGTGCAGCTGAGGGTTAGCGAGTGGTCGTTTAAAGTGATGGAGTACCTGCAAAAGCAAAGTGGAAACGCGCAGCAGCCTGGCTGGCGGGGGTCATACCGCCTCGGAGGCTATGGTATAACAGCGGGCAGTGCTTGAAAAGAGGCAGTGTCTTCTCCTGGGTTAACTACGAGGAGAACGGCTTTAAGACAGTGGGCTGCAATAGTGGGGGAAAGGCAGATTTTAAGCTCACAAGCCAGTCTTCACACCTGAGGTGAAAAAAGTAAAAGCACCCATTTATGCCCCAAATACCAGTTCTTTTCCCTCCGTTGGTGGAGCCAATAAAAAGGCACTGCTTCTCACCACAAACCTTACCCCCTTAGTAACAGCACTGTTAGTTTATCTCCAGATTCTCTCCTTACAACTGCAACAATTCATTCTCCTCTGTGCCAGTGTCCCCTGTAGTCTTTACTTCTGTGCTGCCACACACTTATAAAGTCAATTATCACAGGGTTACAGTTTGTGACTGCCACCGTGCCCACAAGTTCATGAGCGGCTGAGTCAACCTAGACATCTCCCTACAGCCAAAAGGGGAAGCAGCTTTTTTTCTTTTGGGAAGCACTAACATCTTAGGTGACATCAAAATTATTCAAGGAAAAGTGCTCTATATAAGATTTAAAAATAATAATAATTAAAAAAAAATTATACCAAACATTTATATTTGTAGATCAAAAAGGAGACTGAAGACTCCAGCATTTATATATATAATGAGGCACCCCAGAAACACAGAAAGTTATGAGTTTCACAGCATTAGTACAGATTTCATCTTTTTAATGTTCTGGAGGAAAAAGCAGATCATGACAAAAGAGCCTCAAGTAGCATGTCACCTTATATATACAATTTGAAGGTAACAACTGTTTATCTAAGTATCTACAGTATTTGAGAATCAAAGGAACCTGAAAATGAGAAAGTCATACAAAGAGATTCAAAGAGTATTTTTGGCTTTTTAGGGATAGGCCGACAGTGGGTTGGTTTTAAGGAAGGAAAGAAGCCACAGCAACACACTGATATTGTCACTGAATTCTGATCAGTCTGGTTTGATAATTTTGGCAACTATAACAACTAGATTAGAGACTCATAAAAAGGGGGTAAGAGAATGATACTACAAGAGATAAATAACCATTCTGAAAATATGTTTATCTGTTCCTTCATCTCAGAAACAGCAGACAGGTTTAGCTACAGCACTTAAAGCTCTTATATTGACATGGCAATGGTCGTAGGGTATAATTCAGCAGCCAGGGACTTTGCTGGCTAAGCCCTCTTTTCCCTTGAAATGCTCTCAGCACTGGAGCCTGGAAAGAGCAACCGATAGATCTGGTTATTAGCAGCGCATCAGAGATGCTCAACAGATGTTCTCACAGGCTGTGAACTAAAGCAATCCAATCTGCTCACAGATAAAAATAGTTTTTGGCATTAGTACTCAATGCTGCATTGAGATGCCTCTTATAGAGAAGAAGTGGCATGGGACAAAACTGCTTGCAGCTTTGCACCATTATAGTCATATTTCTAACTACAGATGTCCCTATAGGATTTTATGAGAGAAAAAGCAGTAAACATTTTTCAGAATTTAAGAAAAATAGAGAAAATTATGTAGTGATACTGCACGTTACACTGACACTATATATTTGACTGTACTGTGCTAAAGTGACGTAACAGTGATCATACTGCACCCGTCAAGTACCAGACTATTCTAATTCAGCCTGTGCTCCTTTCCTTATGCCTTTGCATGTTCATTTTCTGCTCTCCAGATCACACCTTAGTGGTGGCAGCCTATGAGCACCTGCCAAATTACCTGCGGGAGCCTGGAGGGACCAGGGAAGGAGGAAGAAATCCAGCTGCCACGCAGGCGAGCCGAGGGGCTGCCCCTCAGCTGCCGCCTTACACACATTTGTTTCACTACAGTATTTAACGAGATCCCAAAGCACCCTGAGACTTGAGTGCAGTCATCTATGTAAAAATACAACTATCTTGCCATGAAACCCAGCACTGATGATTTATGAAGTCCCTTGATGTGTGCAAAGAGGGGAAATCACATAAGATGTCTCATATCCATACAGTTTAGCAAACCACAGATGAAGCAGGACAGGAAAAAAAAATATCCCAGGGATATTAGGCTATGAAGCACATTGATGTCAAAGACAGTAACAGAGAAGATGGTAGACCAAACAAGAGGAGCAAATGTAAACGCACACAGATTCCCCACCTGGGCTTCAACACACGTCAGTGTCAACATGCTGGAAACCGTATGCAGAATTAAAAACCTG